TTTAAAGCAGTTCTGGAAAACARTTAATCKGTTAGCCCATATATTAGCTTTTTTTTTCAAGGAGCATGAATGTTTTATTGSATGCTTTTCACCACAGGATGCAACCTGCCAGCACCCTTCTATACAAAAACACACCCCAAAAGCTTTCAATGCAATTACAGAACTTCTTAGAAAATAGTATTTGACTRACAAAGGTCTGACACCAGGAACTCTGGTTTTGTGTATTATAGTGAAAAATAATTATTTGTATAACATAACATAACATTGTCCCTTTCTATATGAAAATACCAATTTCTGAAACTGATGATACACAACATAAGCCAGCGGAAACAACCTAAGGCAGACTTATTACCTTTATTAACGGAAAATAACCAGGAAAAATAAAATCAGAAGTTATAAAATGAGAGGAGCAACTTAATACAGTAAGGACAGTTGAACTTTTGTTTCCATCTGTAGATTCATTCAAAGAGTCTGCAGCACAATGCACATATTAAAATATTGTCCTGCTTTATAAACATTCTTACATCTCAATTTCCTAAGACATGAAATCCATATTAAGAAATTAGTGCATTGCAAAAGCAGTAGATCATAYTAACATTTGTCTACTTTACAATATTTCACTTCCAGAACACTGACTTCTATAGCTGAACTACAGTCCTTTAATGAGCTGATAACATCATGGCTATAAATCATTTTAGGGTGAGTAATATAATGGAACACCAAGTATGCACATCAAACTGGCATGTACTCTTACAAGAATTCAGCTCTCAAAGTAGTCTTTAAAATTTAGTTAGGCTGAAATATTTTTAAAGCCTCTAAAAACAACTTGCTCTTGCATGTCTCTTCYATGTCCTTGTTCCATTGGGTATCAGACAAATATAAGAATGATGTTTATCTAATAACAAGGGTGGTTGAGTATTCATCACTCAATGTACTACTAGGAAGCAAGGAGGAATAAGGACTTTTCCAAGACACCTCTTTTAGTTTTTACCTCACGCTTAGTAAGAAGCTTCTTAGAACATACCAAGAAGGGGAGGGTTTGTTTGTTTGTTTAATAAAATTAAGCCAAATATCTGCACCTGGATTAACCATCCAGATCACAGCAGCTCATATGCATCTGGTTCAGAGCACAAGCATAGAAAAGCCATTTTCAGAAGTTTTTTGTCTTTAAAAACATATTTGCATCTAAGCAGAAAACTCTTCTGAATGTAGCTTCATTGTTCCTGTATTATTCTGCTAAGGGTGGGGGAAGAAAAACAGCATGAGAACTAGAGGTAACTGGCTTATTTTCCTGCTACTTCTTACACCCTATCTTCGCTAACCAATTTCTGATGAAGATTAAGTAAATTTCCTGCTTTCTCATTTCTACATGCAACAAATCAGCCACTCTTGAATTTCTTAAGATTTATTCTGCAAAAGTTACAGAAACACACAAATGAATTTCAAACTAGAAGAAAAAAAAACCAAAATAATTAAGGCCTAAGTATAGGCAATATACCAAAGTTTTCTCTATCTCCATGTTCAGCAATTGGATTAGTAAGAACAAAAGAAAACATCCAATTTTACTAGAATTTTAACACCTTGCTGGAGGTCCTACAGTATTTTTATYAGCCTTAAAACTGTTTCAAAAGAAAATTAAGGGGACAGGGTAGGGAGGGACGACAACATCWATGTTTGTGTACCTGCTAAAACACAATACACATCAAATAAACATACAGGTTTATCCTGTACAATGCAGTTGGTTTTATAGCACCACTCTTGCCATTGATACATTTATATATAGCAGTTCCTGTTAAATAGGGAGTCTTGTTACAACATTATGTTTTTAAAAATACTTTTTAAGTTGGAAGTTTACAAAYAATAGTTTAAAAGGCAAAACCAAACCCAAATAAAAAAAGTTTTATACTTCAACAGGTAATATAAAGTAGTACTGTTTACCCCTTCATTTTCTGTTGATAGGATCAGCATTACCTCTATAACACTACAAAATTGATAAAATACTTTGAAAGTYTGAATTTAAGTTTTTTACCTCACAAAAGAACTCGAAAGGAGTCCAACAAGTCCTACTGCAGCTCCAATAACAGCTACTTTTCGACAGCCAAACAGGTCTGTGAATATGCTGACTATTGGGGAGCAGAAGAAGACCATCCCCATAGAAAGAGAGCTCACCCATGCTGCAAAAGAGAAAAAACAAAAAAGACAACATTTAGAAGACCAAGTGATTTCAGCTTTCAGTTAATACTTGTTTTCAACAGGATTTTACGTTGCTGAACTATAGTTGGGTAGCAATTGGGCAACTATTTTAAAAACATTTAAATGCATTTTAAAATACATTTACCTAAACATGGTAAAAAAAAAGCATAACAATTTACATAATCAACTAATTTAGATTTCATCAGCTTGAAAAATGCAATTAACTTTTTTATAGCTATTACTCTTACTTTTTTTTAAACACACAGGCATTTCTCTAGTAACTGACCTAATACTCAAACTGATGACTAGGTCATTAAAGATATCATTGAGGTTTCATATTCATTCTGACATYGCTTAGTCCATTTCACTTGACTTACTGCTAGACCTTAATCACTTTAAACAGGTACATTTGCTGAAAAAAAATTAATGATTTTTTAACTTCATTACTAGATGTAGATCATGCTGATCAATAATGAGTAAACAATAGGCTCTTATACTGCAATAAACACTTCAGGAATGTGATTTTACCTTATACTAAACAAACTGACTTAGTAAAATCACTTCTATATATAATGGGAAAAGTTCACTACTTTTGATACTGCTCAGCTTTACAGACATTGTGAAAACAGTACTTGGTTCGTTAGATTATTTAAATTCAACTCAGGTGAATCCACTATAATTTCAGCCACAAGTGGTTATAATAGTTACAACTAATATATTTGCTATATATAGTAATTTATACATTGCAGATGTCCCCACCTATACGGGGAAAAAAGGTCTAAACATGAAGCAGGAAAAGCTGGTAATGCAAAATTAACTGGAAAAAATATTTCAGCTTCCTTTCGAATTGTACAGAAGATAATACAATTCTTTCAACCTAAAATAGTTTAGATCTGTGTAACTGGAATTTTATTTAGAATATCTTTCCTAAAGACATAGTTAGATAAACAATTGTGATTCAGTGATGARGGCAAAGAAAGTATCTGGAAAAGCAGGTAACCACAAGACTAAATGAAGTACATTYGCAAGTAGGTCTACCAATACCAAGGCTGAGGAGATGTATCATTAAAGCGCCAGTGAGCCCTATACACTGATGAAGACCTCATTGTGCAAGGCAMTAAAGACAGAAAAACCAACAAACTTGTTTCTTCTAAGAGTTTACAATGTAAATGAAAGATGAGAGAACAGATAGCTMGAGAAAACCAGAAATTAGTACAAGAAACAAAATGTTTATTTTAGGGCAAACAATGCTCTCAATGAACCATAACGTAACTGTTTGGGGAAGGGCAGGAGGGATATGTGTTACCGGATTTTTTTGATCATGTGATAAAATAATAGAATTTCAAGCCACAATCTAAAGAGTGAAGTACTTTTATGGCCATTTCCTGTGTAGGACTACTCCATATATTATAGCCCTGCAGGCCTTGTACCTCTACAGCAAAAACTCAAGCTGTATAAAGGAAGAGCACAAGATACAACAAGGATCCTGTGACACTGCCTGAAAGGCTGAGACCAAATTTAAGAAAGGTCTGGTCTTTGTCTTTCTCTGCAATCAAAGAACACTCAAGAGCACCGTGGACATGACTCCTCTGAGATCTGTCCCCTATTACAGCCCAGATGGCTACTGATGGAACAAGACATCGCACCAAACACGGTTTGTAAGCAGGAGTCTGAGGGAGCAGGYGCTCTCAAACAGCACAAAGCTTCCAAGAAGTCCAACTTCTACAAGATTCATCATCCTTTTACTTATTTTTCCCTGCAGAGTGAGCCTGCAGTTTTTCTGTCCAAAGGAAACTGCAAGCACTAGGGGGTAGAATGCCTATGTTGGCCTGTCCCACTCTCAAATAAATGGTGACTACACCACCACAAACAGTCCTCAGCACCTCTATGCGACTTGCAGCACKCTAAAAATCAGTCCCTGTGACTCCCAGGGGTCTCTGCAAGGCCAWGAGGCAGCTAAATCTTGAGAAGCAGCCATCAAAAATCTCACTGTCACCAGTGGTATCACACAGTATGAAGGTGCCAAGAAACAGCGGAACCTCCTGTCACCCTTCCTGCCAGGTACAAAAAGAAACAAAGGCAACAGGCACTGGACAAGACCACCAGAAATTGCTGATTTTGAGAATCCAATCTCACATGGACTCTGTTCATGGAGACAAACGGACAAAGAAAGCAGGCATCTGAAACTGAGCATAAGTAACTTCCATGAAGCCACAGACTAAATTACTTTTGAGCTACAGACCGTGATTCAATTATCATTCTCCTTAGTGAAGTCAGGTTTACAGTGTTTATTAGCTATACAGCTAATAAAATAATTGGAATATAAAAGGCTGAAGTGAAGACATTCAGCTCAAATGAARTTAACAACATGYTGATCTTGTCTTTAYGTGCTTCCAGATACTCAGCAAAAASGTWCGCCTTTCTTATCACTTGATTCTCTCTTCTTGTTGTTACAATCATGACAGGGCAGAGCCTAAAAGTGAAGGTTTCCACTGGTTTTCAGCATAACACAGTCAAGACAAATGATGATGCCTTATCTGAAGCATTTCAGAATGGAATGGTGATGTGGGAATAAGTCCCACTGCAGAAGTGGAAGCCCACACCGTATCACTTATCTATCTAATGAAAACTGAAGCCCTTTAAATAATAACTTCAAGTTAACAAGTTGCTCTCATTGGCCTAGAGAAATGTAATTTAGAGATGTTGTTGGCAAGTCTTGTATGAACATCTTTGTTATATTTTGAAAAGAATGTTYTCGGAGTTAGACTTCACAGGTACTCATAGTTTGAGAAAATGTACTGTCTTTGTCCTTTGCAAAGAAACCTAGCATAAAAAAATAAAATAAACAGAATATGTAAAACTTTAAATGTCCTAATGCAAATAATTCTTCTGCAATATCTTCATTCTATAAAGAAATGGATGGCTTTAAATCTTTTCAATAGTTCTGAGCAATTTTCGATTTCATCTTGTTCAGTAAGTTTTCAAGCACCCTTACACTTTTTCACTCTGTATGAAAAAAAGCTACATTGAGTTGTCTTCCATATTTTTTTCAAATACAAATTACAACTGTCCCAAGTAATACAAAAAACTACAAATGCAGCATGCCAGAATACTGAGAGCTCTCTAGAGCAGTTATTACGTATTAATTAAAGTATTTCTCCTCCAGGCTACTGGCTGCTTTCCTGGCACAGGTTGGCCATATTCCAGAGCTGCTAATTCAGATACTAATACAGCACCTAATTGCTACATATAACTACATTCATATTCATACACAAAACATTTTGATTGTCATAGAAGAAAACCTGTTCCTACTTCAAGGACTTAAATATTCCCTAARGCACTGGAAGTTAAGAATTAGCTCCTCAAAACATGTAATTTTTTGTAGAATTAGCAATTCCCAGGCTCCCCTAGAAGCTGGAAAATAGTCATCCTTACGATAAAACTATCAGACCTGAGAGTAGCTGTACTGAAAAATCTGTTTGTTCTATGCCCCTGAAGTACATAATGGATTACAAAAACTGAAAACTTTATTATAACTAAAATTATTCAAACATGAAAGTCACAGCTTTCCTGATCAGTTCACTGAAAATCTGAAYATATATTCTGATATTATTTCAATTATTTCCTCTGCTCAAAAGTCTGCTCAAAGTAGCAATGCAACTATACACATACTCCAAAAATATGCTGCTATTCTACCATGAGTCTTTAAAAATTAAAACATTATTATTTTAAATAATGTCTTTACTAKAAATACAGTATCTAATATCTGAGCACTCTCAGAGTTATTCCCATTGTCACAGATTACACAATACATATTTATCTGCCAAATTATAAACCAAACTGTTAAATATTTTAGGTCATTCTTTAGATTCAAGCACTAGGATTTACAGGACAACAAAAARGAAAACATTAATATCATGCACATGGAATGCTTTATCATGCACAAATTTAAATAAAGGCTACTCATCCAAAGCATTTTTCATTAAAATCAAATTTTTCTAAGCATTACAATATGGAACTTAGCAGTTTTATCCTCAAGTGTCTTTCAAGTGGTTGCTCAACACAGTAGTAACACCCTTCATTCTTTAACAAGCTTCAATAATTTTTTTTAGTATTTTCCCTTGAGACTGTTCTGGTTGAGAAAGGGAACAAAATGCTACTGTCCAGAAGACAAGCAATATGAAGCAAGCAAAATAAAGGCACTTACTGGCTTCTAAAAGCTCAATAAACTTGAATAATATTTAGCTTTCATTAATTAGCATTCATTATTAGTTACAATTTATGCAAGAATAAGAAAGCCTGTATGTGCTCTACCAGCTTCAAACCATTAACAGCTGAGAGACTTTGTGAGCCTACTTTTCTTAGCTTTTCTTTATAAAAAAAATCTGGACATTTCTTCTTTTTCCACTGTATTTTTCAATATTCTGGATATTTTACCTYCATAAGCTGCCAACCTTCCCTGGAACACTGGTGTATTTTCAGCATCCACAACATCTTACGGCAAACAACTCTGTAATTTAACTATAGAATGGCTAAAGGGTACTTCTACTTTGGCCAGTTACACACAAAGACATTCTCTTCAGCAAAGCAGAAGATTGGCTTCCATAAAAAGATTTGTTATGAGTATAGCTTGAGTATTTGAGAGATCCTGTTCTGGAGGGAAAAAAAAGTGGTGGTTGAAAGTTATTTCTGGAAATAATTTGTTTGTCTSCAGCTAGTATTAATAATTCCTTGCCTGTATAATCATGTTTACATGGCATTTAATTTTTAAAATAACAAAATAATTGCCATRCKGTGTAGATCACAGATTGATTTAGCRCAGTATCCTGTTTCTGACCACCAGAAAGTACTTAGATGAAGTCTGGAAAAAGGCTAGCATTCTGCAATAATTTTCCCTGGCYACATCCAGCTCCCGACATCCAGCAATAAGCAGCTTAGAAACTGCCTAAGCAGAATGTYGCATCTAACCATTCAACAAGAA